GGGATTCATATCACATTTCGCCTTCCCCTCCTCCCGTGATCCTCAGATTTTCTCAGGTTGTCAATCTCATGGAGTCTGCTGGATTTTCACGATCTAATCCATATTATATCGTCAAACAAGGAAAAATAAACGAATTGGCTACCGCTCCGGATTCTCACAGGTATTCATTCTCTCTCATTGCAACTGTTAGTCTTATTCACTTAGATGCTTCTGATTTTACGCTCGCTGTAGAGTTCAGGTTGATTATGAGGCGTCTTTTAGGTTGAAATTGCTACGCGAGGTCGCCGGCACTCGAGTGTATGATGAGCGAAAGGAAGAGAGTCTTAAAATTCTGAAGGAGACAAGTATGTGCAGTAAGTGATCCTGTGCAGGAAGCAAGCAAAACTTTCATTTCAGATAACAAAACAACAAAAATCGAGACGCTGTTGTCGTATATCGATGAACGCTTGAAAACACTAGAAGAAGAAAAGGAAGACTTGAAGGAGTATCAGAAATGGGATAAAATGAAGAGATCGATTGAATACACAATCTATGATACCGAAGCTAACGAGACAAGAAAAAAGTTGGAAAGGTTACTTGACCAAAGAGAGGAGCTCAGTACTCGTCAAACTAAGGTGCGTTCATTCCAGCTGTACTGTTGATCCAATAACCATATGAATTAGTTAAGGTCAGTAGCGAGCTGGTAGAAGTTCAAGCTCGAGGTGTCAAGGCTGGAGCGGAACAACGAAAATTGGAGTCTCGTTTCAAAGGAATGAAGGAGGAGAAGGTATGCTGATCATGTTTTGTTATTTGCACTAGGCCCACTCACTAGCGTAGTAGCGTCTCGTTTGTTTGATTATTTGATATTCATACGTCCCTTCATGTGAGATGCTTGGGCTCTTTTGCATCAAACTTATAAAGATGTTCCATTGAGTCATGATATATTAACTACGAAACCGTCTTCAAGTGAGTTTGTTCAGGAAGCACTCGTTGTTGAGCAAGCGCAGCGCTTTGAGAAGAAGGCAGAGTTGGAGTTGCTGATAAACGATCTGAAAGAGGACGTTGAGAAGTGAGTGACTTCTTGTGCGTTGTTGCTCTTTTTTGTTCACTGGAAATTCTTTCAGGGAAAAGAGTGGTCGTAATAAGGCGGAAGATGTGCTCAATCAAGTTAAAGTCGAAATCCGAGAAAAGGAATCACTGGAGGGCGAATACCTAAATACCAGGTATGTAGAGACTTATAGACTGATGGTCGCCGTGCATTGAGCTGCCTGGATTTCATAATTCTTATTCAAGGAACTCGTTGAGAAAGAGGCAGCTTTGTCCTCCGATATCCGTATCGCGGAAATGAAATCGAAAGAGTTGTTCGCGAAGCAGGGTCATAAGTATGTTTGATCTCTATGAAGCCCTTTGACATATGTATCGATAATCTATCCCTCTGAGAAGAACATAGTTGTCATCATCATCATACTTACTTCCATGTTGTCAGTCCCACTTATGTTTAGAGACCAGTTCAAGTCTGCGGAGGAGCGTGACACCTTCCTCCGTCGGGAAGTACGGCACATGACTCGTCAGATTGACGACACTGAAGAGCAAATGAAAGATATCGAGAAAAGCTTGGAAGAAGAGACGCATGAGGAAGAACAGTTGACAACCCATGTCCAGGTATTTGGTCATAACATTTCTTCGAATGTCAACCAGTCCATGTTTTCATTTATGCTTAGGAACTTGGCGTAGAGCTCCACGAGAATCTTATTCGAATGGATAAAGCCAGCTCTGAACACGGTCGTCTGAAACAAGAGTTCGACAAAGCTATGGTTGCTCAATTGTGAGTTGAATAGTCCTTTCATAGTCACAATATTATATTAGGTTGTCCCATAATTAGTGAATCACTTTACATTTATCGTTATTAAAAATCCAAGAAAATTGGTGAAGGCGTGAAACATGTTTTGCGAAGTAGCATCCACATTGTCCTACTTGAGCAATTACTCAGCCCATTTCCATGCTGCCTTCCGTGGCTGACATTTCAATTTTTCTGGAACCTATTTTTGAGCTCCCTTCTTAATCACTTCTGATTAAGATCTTTCAAACGCCCAACAATATAGAGAATCGACCAGCAGATAGGCAAGGGCACGCTCCCTCACTCCACGGTCTGCTTATAGTTCACTCTATCGAGAGGTTGGCTTTTTTAGTTGAAGATGACCCACACTCCAACTACCCCTCAACTGGCAATCTCAGTGCTATACCCAGCGCCACTAAGCGTGAATATGGACGAACTAGCCGCCTTTTGCTAGAGCATGCCCGACTTGTTAAAATAATGGAATGTAGACATCTACGTAGAGTTGTAACGATTTTAAAATATTTAATTTGTATCTCGTGTGCTTTGAGCTCGAAACAGCTCCGCACACGATCTGACATCGTCATGTTCCTTCTGATCTCCCTTAGTTCCTTACAGTGATCATCCAGCTTATTCACCAGGGTTCTGGACTGCGTGAAGTGTACTAGCAAATCTCCGAGGAGCAGTAGCCCAGCGTGAACGATTCGGGAGTTCTGATAGCAAAAGCCAAACCTCATTCTAGTCCGACCCTTCAGAGATATTGGTGGAGCACGAGAGTGACCATGCGCTGGGAACCGCCGCCTAGTAATACTAGAGTCACTGAAGAAGATCAACATCTACAGCGTAATGGCGGCGCATTCAATTTGAAAGTAAAGCAAGACAAAGTCTGCTTTTTTCCTGAGGTCGTTCGACCCACCTTGCGGAGAATATTCATAAAAAATTAGAGACTCTCAAGCTAGCCGATCTTCCACTTCCTCTGTGTGGCCCTATCCTCGTGCCAACAAGAGGCAACTCAGTTTGACCTCTAGCGCTCTTCCCCAGGGAGGAATTTTACGCTAAGTGACATGACCTCAAACTCGACTTCCGATCTTTCTTCGATCAATAGCTCCTGGAATTTCTAGAGATAAGACAGCGACAAAATTTCCTTGTATAGGCAATACATTGTAGATGACAGGGATGTATGTTTGGATGAGCAAAGACTCCATATGAAAAAGAAAAAAATTGAATTCAAAAATACCCAAAGTGATTCACTAATTATGGGACAACCTAATAGAATCTTGCCATAAATTTGTAGTTGAAATGCAAGACGATGTACGGAAAATCCAAGTTATCTTGAAGCTTACAGTGTAATGAGAATTTAACGGGTCTGCCATAGCATTTCTTTCTTTTGTACCATATGCTAATGCTGGAATGGCTCCATATGATTCTCAAATTTGATAGATACAAAAAGCCACTTGTGTGCGGATCTTCTCATAATTTTCCTGTACTGACATTAAGACTGTTTCAGAGACGCTACTCGTGAGGAGAAAGCTATTCGTGAGCAGTTGACCACCATGAATGCAGAGATAGCCCAATGAAGGCAGCAAGATGCGGTTCTTGCACCTAGGGTAAGGGAGAGTTTTCCAATAAGTAAATCCCTCACCTCTGCTCGAGGTACCATCTTCCCATCAATATAGTACTGATCTTTCTTTTGACCAACCTGCCGTACCACTCGAACCTCAGTTCCCTCGATCTGTTCAAAATGATAGAAATGTTGTAGCAAAGAAATACTAAATGAGGCCAAGGCTTACAGCGGGTATCCTTCGATCACTGTTGTCAAATACTATTTCGACACGAGCCGTATTGATACGAGGTCCAGTACCTTCGTGCAACACTCCCATTCTTTGCTCCGAACGAAGGTGACTGAACTCATCGCTCAGCACGAATTGAATGGCTGCAAAACTTACAAATCGATATGTGGACTTTCTGGCAATCCCTAAGTACTTTGATGCCAGGTTGCACCATAAAATGGATGCTAAAGAAGGGGAAACCAGTCGGAGACCAAGCCCTAACAGACCGGGACTGGCACTTTCGTGGTTAAAATAGCTCCCGTAGCGGCCCAGCAATGCCTCACCAAAGGTTAGCGCAGCCTTTGTAGAGAAAATCATGTACCAGTGGCTGCATTTTGCTGATTTTAGGTCGTTCACCTTATTTGTTTCTCCTCACCTTTGCATCTCTTGCCGTCTCTACTTTCATTTGCAACGGCGAAATTCATCGTACCACTTACTTTTTAGTGGAATTGTTTCCGAAATGAGATGGAGCGCAAATTTGTTGGGCCTGGTAAGAAGAGCAACTGACCGAAGAAGAAATTGGATTTTCCACTGCCATTGCGTCCAACTATGACGTTGTGCTTGGGCGAGAAGCTGTCGATACTCGTAACTTCACGATAACTACGGAATCCCGTTATGTTGACCTTTAAACTATCATATAAGCTATTCGGTTGACTTTCACAATAACTAGTACAAGTAGCCCGTACCTCCTTAATGTGCATGTCTGATTTTGGAGGCTGCTTCCATAAAATACCTATAATCAGATTAGCTGAGAACACCCTAGAACAACTGTACTCTGCAAAAAGGCACTCATGTCTTTAGGTGGGGGGGGGGAGGTTATGACACTCAAAACAGGGCCTTCAAAACCGCTGTTAATTGGCATTAGTACTCAGCCCAAGAGAGGGGGAAAACGTCGGTTGTGGTTTTTGGTTTATTTTTCGCGTTTCGCAGCGCAAAACATTTTTTGCTGTAGGGCTACAGGTCCACTCGCTATCAGCGCTGGACCTGAGGTCCCCTCAACGAAAAATGTTTCCCGTACGAAAAGCGAAAAATCC